TTTGTTGAGTCTATCGATTATTAAAAGTTATAAATAATCACTCGACTACTCATATGTTTCAAATTCGTCATTTTTCATTAAAAATCGGAGACTGTTCGAGCTAGATGTTAATTTGCCAATTGGGATATAATAAAAATATGATTTCAAAATTGCTTGAGCTATATTTTGTAGATCTGGACTCTGTTTACATTATTTTATTGAGTCGGTTCTCAAAATATTATGTCATCGAGTCATTATTTGAAAGCAATGGCGGCGCCAAAAATAATTAAAATATAATTTTATTATAGATCACTCTGTAAGTTAATGACCATATCAAAATACTGTCAAATTTTAAAGTAAAAAGATATGTTTGAAACATATAAATAATTAAATTACTATTTTATAATTTTTAATAATCGAATGATTCGATAAAATAACGCTATATAGTCGGGACCACTCATTCACTCTATCCTTATATAAAATTAATGAAACGGTGGAACATTATTATTATTATAATACATTTATGTTAATGTTGTATTCATTATCAACCTTCACTGTACTATGGCGATTATATTTAACACTTTTCAGCCTTCAGGTAGATACATCGAATGTTTGATAAAAATTTTGTCCAAAGTTTGATTTTTGTTTTTAATTAAATGATGAATTTGCACACAGTCAAACTATCAATCTTGTTTAATTCAATTATATTTATGAATAAATTAGTCTAGGAATCATTTAAAGCCTCTATAATATATAGTTTAATTCATTTATTATTTAGAATATTATAATTTCTTTTTTGCTTAATTGATATTTATGATGTACTAATTTATTTCTTAAAACAAGAAATAATAATTATTTATTTAATGCTTTATTTATTTTCCATAAAAAGATAATTATTTGCCATATTTATTTACATGTCCATAAAAATAGTTTTATATTAAACATATATATTTATTTAATTTAAAAAAAAGAATATAGCAAAATGGGCTTTTCTATTTATTTAAAATGGGCTCAATATCTTCGAGCCAATTACTTATTTCTGAAGTTGGTTTTGTATATACAGAATATGCATATAGATCCAATCATATGGTGGCTTGCTTTTGTTGAATATTTGACTATTTAAAATATAAAATAATTAAAAAATAAAAAAAGGTTATTTTCGTCAAATTAATACTGTGAGATGGTATGGTAAATAGACTTACATATTTAGTTACTCACATACTTTTAAGATTTCGTTTTGATCATTCAATTATTTTTTAAAATATTATATACAACATTATATTTTTATAATCCGACATTAAAGATTTAATGGTGATATGGTGATATTGACATGCAAATTCAGTATTAGACAATTTATTATTAACAACCATTGGATCATGAGTTGTGGAACGTAGTTGGGCAAACAATGTGGGTTGTATTTTTCACCATATTTGCTGATTAGAGTCAAATTTGGATTACAATTGAACCAAATCTGCACCCATGATTTGCTCCAAATTTATTAAAGTGGTTTACACGAACAGCAACTGAAACCCCTGAAAGTTTGAGCTACTTTTTCTTAGCAGAGAGGGCATCTGTTATGTTTTATTGTTTATGCTTTTGAAACTATGCCTGTGTTGTTAGTTTTTAGGGTTGCATTGAATAATTATGTCAGCTGTGAAGAAAATGGCGTGCGAGATACTTGAAATGGTAGCAAATGGGGTAAAGATCAACCCAGGAATGTGTTGGAGTAAGCTGATGATGTAAGAGCAGAGTGACTGTTCCCAGGCTTAAACGTTACTCTTCCTTCAGCCCAGATGTTCGCCAATCTTTGAATGACAATGGGATTGTATTCGGTAATAGATTTTTCTGGAGTTCAAGCCAACCTCCTAAAACGTAATCAATATCCTCAGCTATGGTGATCGAGGATATAATTTTATGTTAGGAGGGGATAAAAATATATTATTAATAAAAGATTAAAAAAAATCTAAAAATTATACAAAAATTTAAAAATTTCACAGAGGTAACTATCACTACCAATCTCTCAACCCATCCGTCATAACTGGGCCAATGTTCTCTGGATTCATTGGGTTGATGTTAAATTTCGTCAATCAATGCGGATTGACATTGAATCTAATGATATCAAAGTATTATGATTAAATTAAATAATATTTAAATATTAAGATTATTTTTTAAAATTTGGGTTAAATTAAAATAAAGTGTATAATTTAAGGATTAATTTTTTTTTATATTTTTTAAATTAAATAATTATTATATAACTTATTATAGTCGAGGGACTTAATTAAAAACACCATTTAATTAAAATACTATTTATATATTTTACCTTTTTTTACTTCCTAAACTTTGTCCAAGACCAACGTCCAAAACTCAAAGTATCCTAATAAAAGGAAAATACTGTTTTTTTATATAATCGAATTTGAGCAATTGTGTCTGTAGGATATGTGTTATCCATTGGCATAGAAAATCTAGTTTTCCTTACTAATCTAGATTGACTCGTATCGTACACATAACTTTGGTAGGTAAGTTTCTCAATGAGGATTTTATACTTATACAAGGCCTCGAATTCGAGACCTATTTAAAAGATATCAAGCTATTTACCACTTGAACTAACCCATTGGTTATATTATAGGTATTTTAAAAACAAATGTTTATGTAGTTTTATTTCATTTAAATAGATCGCTACCTACAAAAAATCAGTTGGTCTAGTAGGATGAAGCACTAAATTCCTTAAATAAGGTTAGGGGTTCGAACCTTGATGTTTGCGAATGGAGCAAATTGGGTTGGGAGGGTCACCCTTGCCTCTGCAATATCTGATATGTATTAGTCAATCAATAGATTAAATACCATGGATTAATTAAAAAAATAGACCCCTACCTTTTGATATATACATGATTTAACCTTTATTTAGAAGGAATTGTTGAGTAGGGTTACTTTTTGTATACAAGTTAAAGATTAAGGGTTCATTTGTTTGTATAAAAAATAAGGGTTTATTTGGATAGAAATTAAAGTTTAATATCTTATTTGGATGTAACAAAAAGTACTAGAACATATTTTTTACATGGAATTTCAATATTATATAGAACTATAAGAGATTTAAGGCTTAATGCATGTTTTTAGTCCTCAAACCATACATTCTTAGTTAAAATCTAAGGTCGTGTTTGGATGGAAGGGTTCGAGAGCATATTTTCAACATGTTCAAATCCATCACAGGATAAAAAAAATAAATCCAATCGAAATCTAAATAGAACCAAAATAACATGAAAGTGTTAGAAAAACGCTCTAAACAAAACTAAATGGTCCCCAACCCTAATAATAGCTATCTTCTCCCAATTACATTGCTTAAGGTCACTATTAAGGTAAAGGGTTAATGTACCTTTTGGCCCGACTTTGGTTTTACTATGTAATTTAGTTTTTAACATTTTTATGCAATTTGACCCTTACTTTATTTTTGAGCTGCAATTTGGCCCCTAACTATTTGTTGGGTGCAATTTAGCCCCTGAATCTGGCTTTGATATGCAGTCTGTCCGCTAAATTTGGCTTTGAGCTGCACTTTGATATGAAGTCCTCCTAGTCTGATCCTCTTTCAAGTAACAACAATGCTTCTTTGCTATCGGTTTCCATCACATTTCTCTGTAGTCAGTGGCAATATTTTAAAATTTTAACAAACAAATAAATCATTATTTTAAAATTGTAGAAAAAATAATCAGTGGCAATATTTCATATCAAAACCAAAGCGAGAGATTAAATTACACTCACCAAAATGTCAAGGCCAAATTGCAGCTCAAGGAATCAACTTGCACCAAAAATAAGTCGGGTAAAATTGCAGATCAAAATCAATGCCAAGGACCAAATTGCACCCCCAAAACTAAAGTAAAACAAATATTTGGAAAATAGAATATAAAAACTTAAGAAAATAAATCAAAATATTGAAAATAAAACAAGAAAATGTAAAATCGAGCCAATGTTAGATTAAAATCTACAATTGTGTGTAAATATATATAAGGTACAAAGTATGACACAAAATTAAGTGATCAATTATGTTACATGTCTCATATGTATTAAGGTGTTATGAAATTAGAGTATATGCATCATAAGTTGTATTTATAATTTAATGGGAGACAAAATTATAAATACTTAAAAGATTGACATAATATTTAATTTATGTAAAGAGGTAGTGTTTCCCAAGACTTAGGTTAACTTGTATTACTCTATCTTGTTAGAGAATTTTTACGAGACGAGAAAACATATCTTTTTGAAAAATCGTAATTAAAGAAAGACTCAAATATTTTAACTTATAAATTACATGTATGTTTTTGTAAATCTAATATTTTATTTTCAATGATTTAGTATAATTAAATCATGATTGATTTTTTATAGTTATTATAATTTGATTCTAATACCTAAACAACACCCAATTATCTACTTGTTTTAATGCTTAAATATATTAAGGCCAAATATTATTATTAGAAAAAGGAAAGGATAAGCAAGCAAGGTTAAAGCTTAGTTGTATATTGATACATGAGAAAGACAGGACAGAAAGCAGGTGGCAAGATTCCATTTTATTTGCCATTTGCTTTGTCTTTTATGCTACAAATGGACAACCAATCTAAAAGTAATACCCATTGCTACAATGTAGGCCGAAAATATGTGTAAAACCTAATCCTTTCATATCAACACATGTGGTTCACATTCAGCCACTTGACTTTCCTTGAAAGAATAATCCTTTCATTATCTTCTTCCTTCATCCCACCAAATAATAATAGAGTATTAAATAAATAATTAACTAACAAGAAAAAAAAAACGAAATTATTTTTATTTTCATATTTTTCACACCTGGGAAATGATGGGGTTGTGCTAATTTAATGGGCAATCTTTGACACCCTACTTCACATTGAATTACATTTCATCATCAAAGCTAATCACGATCAACAATCCAAAAATGGTAACAAAACACATGCATTGAAGGAAAGGGAAAAAAAAGCTGCTGCAAAACAGTTGAAGAATGTGAGCTGAATTTAGAAGCTTTTAATCATTGAGAATCTGTTGCTGGGTTTTCATCTCCACTGTCACTGCCTTGAGTTAGATTCTCTTGATCCAAATTCATTTTTAAATCCACTCTGTTGTTGTTGTTGTTGTTGTTGTTGCTGCTGTAAACGTTGATTCCGGTACTGCCGAGTAATCCCATGTTGGTCTCTGTCACTCCTAAACCGAGCTGATGACCCCCGGTTTGATGTTGTTGCAATATCATCGAACCCAGCTGAACCGGATTTGCTCTACCGCTACCACCCGAATAATGAGCCGGAAAGGCCCACATATGTGCTTCTGGTACGGTGGCTGATGTGGTGGCAGTACCACCTACTGGAAGCATCCAGAAGGCATTACCTCCATTGGTGGGGGCCGGTGCGACGGCCCACATAGCTGGAGTTGGCATGACGTTGTCCGAGTGGAACGAACCGGGTTCTTGTTCTGGCATTCCGGTTCTATCCGGTTTAGGGGAATTTGCGTCTATAACACCGGTTTCGGTATTGTGTTGGGACGTTTCTTTGAAAAGATCATCCCTGAATGGCTTTCTATTGTAGTTGTCGTTAGGGTTAAGAACCTGAGGGTAAAGTTGATGGTGAAACCCTAGCATGGCAGTATTGTTGGCACTGTCGTCTCCTCCGTTACTGTTGTAAAAGCCTAAAGCACTGTGGAAAGAGAGAGGCGCGGACTTAGACGAAGGAGCCGAAACGATGGATGATCCACTGCTGCGAAGCGAAACGTTGAGGGTGGAGAAATTGGCCGGGATAGTCCCCGTCCCCGTCGCAGCTATGATGGAGGGTTCAGCTTGTTGGAGTAGCCACTCGATGGTTTCACCGTCGGATTTATGACCCAATTCTCGGGTGAGTTGAAAGACTCGGGCGGCGCAGACGGCAGGCATCCTGATACGACGGCCGCGGCCATCGACCTTGGTGTGACGGTCTTTGGTGGGTCTTTTGGCAGCAGGTGGTTTAGCAAGGGAAGAAGTGGAAGTAGTAGAGGTGGAAGAGGGAAGGGGAACTTGGTTGGAGATGGAGCCCATGAATGAGACATGGTGAGGGTGAGGCTGAGAGGAGGAGGTCCCATGTGCGCCACCAGCAGCTTGTTGTGGTGAAGCTTCTTGTTTAGGGGGAGGGTCAGTGCTGCTGCCGCTTTTATTGCTCCGTGACTCCATAATCTCCCGTTGAGGTTTCCAAAGATTTTGTATGTCTGTGGAATTATCACTCAAAAATATGAAAGGCCCTACTTTTATTTTTTTATTTTTACTAAAGTGTGAATGAGTTGTGATCTTAGCGGGAGGTAGTGCGAGGGGTCTTCTTTTCTTCCACTGCCATCCACTCAGAGGAGTAGGTGCCCACCAAACAGCAAATTAAAATAAAATTTTCAGCACGAGTGGGGGCCTCTCCCAATAACTTCATCATGTAATACTTACACAGTTTTTCTATGGCTTAATTCACAATTACTCCTTCAAGTCTACCTTTTTTCAATTTCATGCTTCAAACTTTTTATTTATTAAAAATGTCCCTAAACTCTTGTTTCATCACTCTAAACGTTAAAGCTCATTACAAAAACTCTAAACTGACACAAAAATGACATGGAAATAAAAATTACAACATTCTTTCCTCCCACACAATTCCCTCCTCTCTTTTTTAGTTATACATTATCATTTTCAACAATTATATTTATTTTCAAAATCATTAGAATAACTTAAACTTTAATAAACGGTCACCGTCATCAACAACCGTCTATTGATACCAAAACAGCAGTATTACAAAATCTCTTTAATTTTAACCACAATTTCTTTTCAAGTCTTATTTCTTCTCAATAAAAAAGAAATACTTTTCATAAATAAAGCTTCAATACAAGACACCAATAACCTAAACAAGCTTGCTTTTCTGGGTATATTTCAAAGAACCAAAGAACATAAACCTCAAAAAAACAATATAATATAATTTCATTTAATTTGTGTTGATCATTTTTCGATTCTAAATTATGTTGAGGTGTTTAAAGTCACGAGTAAATCATTATTAGAGTTAAATTAAACTAAAATTCAACTTTAGGATATAAAAGTTAAGATTGTGGTTAAAAATTGAAAGTTAGATTTAAATAGAAGAAGCCAAGATGAATATATTAATGTATTCCAGCGTTGAATTGTCATCGAAAAATAAAAGTCGACTATAGAAGATGATGATGAACATGATGACTGAATTTTTTTTCCTGAGTTGATTGATGTTTTGCGTTTGAATATGAAGAGGTGAAAATTTTATGGTTGATTAGAGAGAGTTAAATAGAGTGAATTCTAATTTTAGTTTAATATCAAATTATTTTTATTTAATTAAAGAAAAACATCAATTGTTATATTTTTATTTATTTACATTTTTGCAACTGATTCAAAGTTTTGGGGTTCTTTAGGGATAATAGTTTATAGGATATTTTTTTTATTGCGTCTCTAATTATGAACAATTATAAAAGAAACATTCGGTTAATAAAAATTAAACTTAAGGATCACTGTTGTCCTTGGAGTAAACTTAATTTATCAATTTCGTTTCTATAATTTTTTGCATCAATTTAACTCTCAAAGTTGTTTATGATGTTTATCTTAACCCTCGAAGTCTATTTTGACTAACATAATCTTCTACGTTTATCAACACCATTCATTTTCAAATTAATAAATATTATAAATGTGGCTTGATGATGACGTGACATGTATTAAAAATAAATAATAAAATATTTATTAAATATAACAGTTAGAAAAAATCTCTAAAAATTTAACATAATCCTTTAATCTCACTTAAATAAATAACATTTATTTTTGAGAAATTTGTTATATTCACTGTGTTTAATAAAATATTATAACATAAACATTTAATCCACATACGTAAAAGCCTCACAGTTCTGTTAGTTAAAATGGTCAACAGACTTCAAGGACTAAGATGAATACCTTAAATAATTTCGAGGGTAAAATTGATGAAAAAATGATAAGGAAAATTTAATAATTTGAATTTACTACATGGACAACAGTGACCTTTAAGCCTAAATAAAAATATATTATTTTTTAAAAAAAATTAATAGTATATGATATGATAGTTAATAAAATTAATATAATAATAAATTTAACTTTTACATTATATTTTAATTTAACTTTAACTCTAAAATATTAATTTTTAGAATACCTTAAGAATGATCTTCAAAAAACGTCAGTTATCTACCAATCAAATACCTCCAGATAAATCTCTCTGTTGATCAAAGTCTGAAAAAAGTTCATAGCCTCCAAATAAACTACAATGCACATTTTTTTAAAAAAATAAAATACAATGTACAAGTAATATTTTTTATAAACTCACGTGATATATCAAAGAGAAATATAAAAGATTTAACCATCAGATCAATTTAGTAATAATGATCTTATATTTAACACCATCAACTACAAACACTATAAATACTTCTCATTTAGGACTCAAAGGGGAACTTTCCTAGACTCCCTTATCTTCTATCGTCTATCTTGGACAATCTTCTCTCATGCTATATTTTTCATCCTTGTTCTCGTAGAAATCCATCGACTAACAATTATTTTTATACCAGTTGTAACTCTCCATCTAAATCTCCAACTACTGACACAACACATCTATTCCCATCAACAACCTTAAATGTTTTAAAGGCTTACTATAAAAACAAATGCATGAACTATACCATTTTTTCTAGTTAGGTGCCTAAATTTTTTTCGATCAATATAAGTGTCTAACATTACAAACGTTATCATTTTAAGTGTCATGATCATAATTTCATTAAAATTTATTGTTAAGTAACACATGACATATTATGTTTATTTTGATTTAATAAAAAACCTTAAAAATATTATTATATTTAAAAGAAAACCTAATTTCTCTAAAAGGATGGAAAAAATCCCTACAAATTGACCATAAAGTTTCTAACCCTAATCTTACCATATCCATTGCCGATCACAGTCGTCGCTACCTTCACCACCCTTGTCATTCCCATCATTGGTTGTTGTCACCCTAGTCTTCGCGAGCATCGTTGGGTCATTTTGGTATCGGTTTTTTCAAGGTTTGTTCTTTCGAGTCACCCTAGCTTTCGTCATTTGTTCATCGAGTTTTTGGGTTATGGATCCGACTGTTTGTCGGGTGGAGGTTCTGGTAGAGGTTTCGTTGAAGGCAATAACGAAAAATGACAGTGACCGACACAAATATAGGACTGAAATTATGATTTTCAAAGTTTATGGGGGTTTTTTAAGTTTTGAGAAACTTTTGGTCTTTTTTTAAATATATATAATTTTAATTTTTTTAAATAATTTTTTCTTATACACCTAAAAATGTAATGTTATAAACATTAAGCACCTAGATTAATTAATAAATAGTTTAGACACCTAAAAATGTAATATTAGAAACATTAAACACTTAACCGTAAAATAATTTATACACCCAAATAAAAAAGATATATTTTAAACACTTATTTTTATATTAAATGATATTTTAATATTATACCAATTTAATCTATATTGTTTTATATATATTTTCTCCTCCACCATTAATATTATTTTAATATTAAGCACCTATATTATTTTTATTTAGACACCCAAATAAAAAAGATATATTATTTGTATCTAATATTTTTCTTGGTAAAAATGCATAGATTCCTTGGACTAAAAAGTTGATAAAACCACGGGTTACAGAAGATTACATATTCCGTTCGTATCTATAAGCTTTTGATAATTTTGAAATTAACTTTAATAATAAAATAAATAATGGAATCCATCATCGACTTGGCATAGGAACTTGACTTACAGGTGTGAAATGTTGAAAAGAAAGACGACCGTACATCACTACTTCCTTACAGCTCACTGATTGAGTTATGGCTGATAATGACAACAATCGTGACCCTGTCCAACAACCATTAAATAGTTTCTCCCATCCATATATTCAAATCTAATTATAAAAAATTAAAATAGCCTAAAATATATATCCTTTTAATATAAAATTAAAAAATAGCATAAATCGATTATGATTGAAAATCTTATCAAAACGATTTTTAGGTTAGATAATTAATATTTTAAATTAAAATTAAAAATATAATATTTTTCATAATATTTTATATTCTAACCCAAATTATTATAAATTATATAACTTTTTCGATATTAAACCTTAAACCCACCATGATATAGCTTTTTTTTATTGGATAATCCATTTCATTACTCAAGAAAATAGGCTGCTACAAAAAACCAGTTAATACATTAACTGTAAATTAACCTCTAGCTATACTCAGTCCATAGAAAACAGAAAGCAAGATACACCAATGCTCACTATATGCCCCAACTTACACAAAGGTCTACATTCCTCGAGTCCAATCTGTTGAAGGACCAGCCAGCCAAACGAATTCGGATGGTATCTCGAACGTCCTCCAGCGTATCGTCCTTTAATCTAGCCATGCCTTCAAATAACCTATTGTTTCTTTCCTTCCAGACGTTGTACACATGCCCAGCCAGCGCTAGCTTCAACACTCACACGATGAACGACTTACCTTTTAAGTAGTGAATAGCCCAAGCAAGCTCCCCATTCCAGCTACTCGCACCACGGTTGATACCACATAAGGATAAAATAACCCCCCATAAAGCTTTAGCATGCCCACACACGAAGAAAATACGATTTCTAGTTTCAGGCTCTATGTCACAGAGCAAACACTTGTCGCTTTCAATAGCTAGTCCCATCCGCATGAGTCTAGCTCGAGTAGGGAGCCTATCCAAGACAATCATCCATAGGATAAGGATGTGTTTTGGAATGTGACCAGGGAACCACACCAGACTGTGCCATAAGACTTTCAAAACCACAATGCCCATATCTTCCCAACCTTGCCTTGTGTTAAGCTCTCTGCATGGATCAGCAAACAAGTGAGAAATGGCTGGTCTCATTTTTAATAAGCATTTAAGACTTCAGCTAGCATTCGTAGGGGTGTTCATCTGCCATAATTCAGCCCCCTTGATCACGTAGGAATAGGTCCAAGCCACCCATAAGGATCCATCCTCAGCCAGTAAATTTCTGATCAACTTCACAAAGCAAGCCTTGTTCCAGCCACCTAGATCAAAAACATCCAGGCCACCTTCAAATTTTAATAAACATATATGCCTTCAACTGACTCGGGCTCGTTTTGCAAACACATCAACTCATTTGCAGAAGAATCGAGAACAAAGTTGCTCGATTTTTTTATCACCATTTGAGGCAGCATGACCTGCCTACACCAATAATTTGTAAAGTTGATTATAAATCGCGAATCAACAACAACCTGTCAGCAAAACTTAGGTGCCTGTTAACTCACAAATTCAGCTTGTCCCTTATCTTCTCAATGAGAAAGTTACAATCCTTTTCTGCCAGCTTATTAGTCACCAAGGGAATACCCAAATATCTCACAGGCAGCTTCCCAATCTTGAATCCAGTGACATCTCTTATATCATCACATAATGCGTTAGACATTCCAGCAACATATAACTCACATTTACTGGCATTAAGTTTCAAACCAGAGAGAGAGTAAAACATGTCTAAAACAGATTGAACACCCATGATGGATTCAATAGATCCTTTGCAGAAGATGAGTAAGTCATCAATAAAACAGAGGTGAGTCAGGCCAATTTTCCTACACTTGGGGTGAAATCAGAAAATCCTTTGTTGGGCAGCTATATTTAATAAGCTAGACAAGACATTAATGACAAGGACAAAAAGGTAAGGAGATAGGGGTCTCCTTGCCTTACCCCTCTAGCACCTCTAAAGTACCCAACTAAGTTGTCATTAAGTACAATAGAGTAACTAGGTTTAGTGAAGCAAGCCCAAATTCAACCAACAAACCTCTCATGCAAGCCTAAAGCATACAATACAACAACAATAAAATCCCAATTCAATGAGTCAAATGCCTTTTGCAAATCTATTTTCATAGAACACCTAAGGGAAATGTTCTTTTTATTATAGCCCCTAACAAGCTCTTGAGCAACCAAAGTGTTGTATACAATGCTTCTTCCTTTAAAAAAAGTAGTTTGGTTTTTTAAAATCATACTAGGGAACACAGTAGAGAGACGCTTAACTAGAATCCTAGTAATTGTCTTGTAAATCACAGAACAACAAGAAATATTCCTATAGTCTTTAAACATATTGGGATTAGGGATCTTAGGAACAAGAACAACAAAAGTAGTATTGAAAGCAGGGAGGATGAAAGAGTTTCCAAAACAGTACCTAATGCCAGCTTTGAAATCTTCAGCAATTACAGGCCAAGCTGATTTAAAAAAGGGTTATATCCATCAGGACCAAGAGCATTTTTATTCCATTGTCCCCAAATGGCCTCCATTATCTCCATATCAGACACACCCCTACATAAATCTTCAGCAGCCCCACTTCAGGAGATCTTTGATAGTTCCAACAGTACTACCCACAACATTCAGATCAATGACTCCTAACTGCTGCTGGAAAAATCTGATAATCTCATTAGACATATCTTCAAAGGTGTATAGTTTAACTCCAGCCTGATTGTATAACACTCGAATAGTGTTGGTTTTCCTCTTGCTTGCCACCATTGAGTGAAAAAAACGAGTCCCCTGATCACCCTCATTAATCCAATTCACTTTGGTCTTTTGCTTGTAGAAAAGAAGTTCTGCTTCTTAAAGGATTTGTAACTCCTTGCCAACTTCCAGTTCAGAATTGATATTATTACCAGTATGAACAATGCTAAGGTTAGCCAGCTGGATATTAGACAATTTCTCCCCCTTCTGCTTAACCCGATTGGAGATGTCATTGAAACACTTTCTATTAAGCTCTCTGAGGCATCTTTTAAGTCTTTTGATCCTGTGGAAAATGATTTGAACTGGATTTCCAACAGTAGGAGCCTACCACGAATTCTCCACGATAGAGAGAAACTCAGGATGTTTTGTCCAAAAATTGAAAAACTTGAACGGTTTAGGCATAGTTGTAGGTGCTTCTTTATGAAGCCAAACCAGAGCAGAACAACGGTCTGAGTAATCCCCAGGAGCTTGGAATTCAACCTCAGAATCAAAAAATGTTTCAAACCAGCTAGAGTTTACTAGCACACGGTCCAATTTTCCTGCTAAGTAAACATCTTTTTGTTTGTTCGACCACGTGAAAAAGGACCAGAGTAGGGATGATTAAACACTCCCAAATCCTCTACACACTTGTGAAAATATGAGATATATGTTCTGGTTGCAATGTTTACAGTAGCCAAGCTTTCCTCAGCATTTAGAATAATATTGAAATCCCCTCCAATTAGCCAATGGAGGTTCCCAATAGTGCATCCCACAGTGTAACACCCCCAACTCGAATCCGAGTCTGAGGTGTCACATTGACTTTTCAAAACTATGTTCTTTAAAAATCCACTAAAATCTTAATTTCATCCTTTAAGAAAAATGAGTAGTTTACATTAATAATTACAATCAAATTATTTCTTTAAAACCATCAGAGCATATTCAATTTAAAATCTTATAACTACATGCCAACTAACTCTATAAACAAAATACATATGTTCAATATGTTTCTGATCTGATCATCGTAAGGAAAATACTGACATGTCTTGCTTCTCGATATTCCCCTCTCGTTTCTAATACCTACGTGTGAAACAAATACACGCTAAGTCGTTGATTTAGTGAGGCATAAAACATATAATAAAATTTTAACTCATAATCATGCTTGAACAATTTCTACTAACATATCTCATACAAGCATCATACCCACATATACATATACTAATACTAATTCCTACTATGCACATTTCATATATTCATCTGTAAAATAATTATCCATATGCTCACATATCATCCCTCACTTCATAACTTTATCATCTTATTATCATACTTTCACATACATATACATCATTTTACCAAACAAACATATAGTATCACATAGCATTTTTCTCATATTATATCCTTTATTTTAGCCCATGCATACATGCGAGAACTGCAGATATGTGAGTCTATTGAGGTTGTGCACTATGCTGTCACCACAACTCGTATGGGGTCCCACTGGGGGCTATGAATTTATCCCGAATGACCACTATGAAAAGTCTCGAAGGACTATTGTATGTCCCGAAAGACCTATGAACCCTCGACTCTTGGCATGCCAACTATACCTCTAGCTCTCTTTACACATAACATGGGCATTGGAAATCTATCATGTCACATATTCACATGTACATATCACTGTTTATATGATTTCATATTCATATGCCACTTATCTTATAACACTTCTCATGTATTCATATAACATGTATATCATTTTCATATCTTGTTCACTTATGTTCCTGTATATCATATATATCACATATGCACATTGATTATTTTCATATTCACATAGCACATACAAGAACAAATCAATTCATATAAACAAGCATACACACACTCATATTAAACACAAGTTACTATTCATAAATTTATACGCAACACTATAGGAAATAGACTTGTCGCAAGTCTTATTTCCATCATATATCATATACTATTGAATATGCACTCACCTTGGCCTCACTAAGTTTCGATCCCCTTTTATGATTTTCTTTCTTTCGATCGAATCTTAACTTGATGATCATACCAGAACTTGTTCGTGTTCGATAGCTACATAATCATACATTGATACATATTAGTATCCAATTAATATACTCTAATCTATCATTTCTTAGACCAAAAGAAATGTTTATTTCTATTTCCCTTTAAAGTGCATCGATGCATTCAACAGTGTATCGATGCATCCCTTAACATGTGCATGGATGCACTAATCACCTTCGATGTTTTCATTTTTAGGGGATGCATCGATGCACTCCTTATGCATCGATGCACCAGCATTCGATGTTTCTTCTTTAAAGAGTGCATCGATACACCTTGCCCAGAATTTGCATTTTAAGCCCGAAAATCATCAACTCTTCATTCAATTCTTCTATTTTAAGCCCCTATTATGTCATTAAATTCAACTACCATTACGTAAACCAACTTATATCCATGTAAACCATCTTTATCTTCCATATCTCATCATGATTCTTAAAATTTAAGAATCTTACTAAATTTTCAAATTTGTTATTAATCCTTTCTAACTTCATAAATCTCTTATTTTTATTGATGGCAAGTCAAATTCAACTTTCAATTCTTATTATAAACTCTAATTCAATATTTCACTCAAGAACTCCAAATCTTTAATCTTCCCTAACTCCTTTATCTTTTGATTTTAAGATAACTTAAGATTTCCTTAAGCTTAGTTATCATCTACTGATCATAACCCAACCTTAAATTTATCCATAAATTATCTAAATAGAATACTCACATTTGATTCAAGCCTTCACGTATGAAGAAGGAAGAAGAGAAGAGAAGAGAACTCTATAACCTTTTTCTCTCTTCCCATGTGATTTGCTTATTTTATAAGGAAAATAAAAATCTTCCTTGTCAAATGACCATTTTGCCTTTAAATTCATCTAATAATTACTAACAACTTTTATGATTTATTTCTAAATAAATCATTGAACTAATCCATGGTTCTAATATAGTCACCAAATTCTAAAACTTTACAATTTGATCACTAACCCAATACTGAGGATGTTACACACAGAGCTCATTTGACTCCAGATTTGCTTCTGAATATATCCATCATTAGAACCATAAATTACAGAAATGAGAAAGTCATTTTCCTTAAAAGTACCTCTCACAATAATACTCTGATCGAATACAGACTGAACAGTGCAACTTAAACTGTTTTGACTAAGCAACCAAACACGCCCATTGGCTGAATGACTATAATTACAACATGAATTCCATTCACTAAAAGTCTGATGCAAAATGCCTCCAGCATTCCTTTCCCAAACTCTAGTTTCAAGCAGACATAAAATGCTAATATGACAGTTACTAGCTCATTTCAACACTTTCTTTTGCTTTAGAGGTCT